TGAGATGGGCCTTTCAGCTCATTGTTACGTACGTGTGTGTGTGTGTGTGTGTGTGTGTGTGTGTGTGTATGTTTACTATCATCTTCAAGTACCTGGAGAAGCCTTGGCTTCTGTAGGTGGTTTGTCCCTATTTCTCACCCTGGCTCTGTTTTGCAAGCGAGTGGGACCAAGACCTGTTCAGACTTGCAGTTTCCAATGGCTCCTGTATACTGGCCCTGATGTTGCAAGCTGCCCTTCCTCTTACATGGCACACCACTTTGCTCCCAAGATAAGAACCAGGTGTGTTAAAGAACAGAAAAGTAGCAGAAATCAAGGAAGAATGACTTGGAAAGAACTGTCAACAAATGCTCCTTTTCACATTTTTTCCCTTTTAAAAATGTTTCCGTGCTGAGTACTGTAAATGCCATTTCCTGCCACTCTTAGCATTCAAGATAACATTGAAGGGCATGGCTTTCCATTTGACTGGGTTAGAGTTTATGATCTGGGGGACATGGTTGCTCCTTGAGTTGTTCAGGGGATGAAATTTCCAAGTTGGTTGGCGGTAGAGCTTAGCATTCTCTGAGGAGAGAGGCTTGCAGGCATTGTCCTGGGTGTTCTGCTTCACTATGTGAGCCACTCGGTGGTATAAAAGCGGGTGCTGCACCTGTGTTGCTGAAACAACAATATAGAAACCATGGCACCATTACATTAGAGCTCTGAGTGTAAACACAGTCACTTGCATTAAAGTAAGGTAATTGGCCCAAGCTGCACAAAGTAAAATGTGAATTAACATTGTGAATGCATAACTGTTGTTTGACATGAATGAGGTTACTTTATTCCTTGTAGGTTTTCAGTATCATTAACTCTCAGAGTTTGGTGTGTGTTTTTCTTGTCTCAAGCTCAGCCTGTTCACATTATTTTGGTTAGAGCAAATGCATGTTCTCTATCCTCTAGCCTAACCCTTGTCTGTAATTTTCTTTGAGGCACCAGAATACCTTTCCGAAAGCTCCCAGGGCAGGTCTTCCCAAAAGTTTATAAAATGCGGGAGCCTCCCTCCCCCAGGTTAGTGGAATCAGTTTTAGAGCGCAAATGTTCATTTCTTGAGCTGTGCTGGGGAACTTGGGTGGAAATGAAGAACAGTCAGCGCTTGGGTGATGAAGAGTAGTGTTTTGTAAACTGAAGTTGGGCAGGAATGTGATGGAACAGAATTCAGCTTGGGTCATACCTGGGTTTTCTTAGCCTCACACTGTTGACGTTTTTGCCTCCTAAGTCTCTGTGATGGAGTGCTGTCCTGTGCGATGTAGGATTTATTTTTTTAGTTTTTGGTACTGGGGACTCAGCACAGTGCTCCTCTGGGTGAAGTAGCACTGCAGTGCCCCAGCCTCAGTTGTGACACCACTGATGCTTATGGATAGCACCCATGTCCCCTCTCAGGGATGGCAGATGTAGACCTGCTCTATTGGAGAGCCACTGGTCCATGGTCGACTGAAAGCCTGAACATCGCTCATCAGAAATATCTATTCTAATGTAGTTTTGCAAACTGTTTTGCCATTGTATTCTTTGTAAGTATTTTTTTTTTTTTTTTAAGTACTGTGGAGCGCCAGGGTCTTACACTGAGCTGCATCCCTAACCTTTTTTGTGTTTAATTTTGAGACATAGTCTTGCTAAATTGCCAAATTGCAGTTTGGGCTTGAACTTGTAATCATCCTGACTTAGACTTGCAGAGTGCTAGGATTACAGGGCTGCCACAAGGCACCCAGCTTGCAAACGTTAACTTTTAAAATGCTTCATAATTATTAGAAACTAACGATCCCATAGATGTTTGAATTTCCCTTGCTGTCATACTGCAAGACATGCAGTTTTCCACGCATGTAGGTTCAGGCTTTAGTCAAGAGGAGATCAGTGACTTCCTGAGCCCGTGGGTTTTGGCACGTCACTTTTGTGCCAAAATGTCTCCCGTGGGCAGCATTCGTGCATTTTCCTTTGGTGAGGGTGGCAGTTTCCAGACAACACCAGATAACCCTGTGGAGCAAAAATGTTCTCCAGAGACAGCTGGGCCCAGAACGGGTCGAGCCTCACTCTGGAACCCCTGTCTCTACAGGTACCAACCTTCTCTTTATTTAAAGAAATGTTTTATCTTAGGAGAACAAGTTTCATTTACAAAGAAGGCTTGATTCCTCTTCACAGGCCTCCAGGGGCGAGGGCTGGGAGTGTGTGAAATTCTCCTTTGGGGATGTGAGGGACTGGACTGTGGGCGATGCCTGAGAACCTGTTTGTGTCCCTGCTGATGAGGCTCCATGGTGCCACTGTGCTTGTTCTGGGTCCCGGGCAGGGAGGGAAATGCTGAGTTTTCAGGGGGAAAGGGGGTTGCTCAGTTCCTTCCCCTAGGTAGCACCTGATACCTTGGCCCGGTTCCAGTGCTCGGGCCTTGGGCTGGCTGCACGGCTTCCAGCAGGTCTCCCTGCCGCTGCCCCAAGTGTGCAAGCTCTTGCAGGTAGTAGTGCACACCATGTACTCAGCGGGACCCAGAGGCCAGCTGGGAGTAGGTCTGTGCTTCCCGGAACCTATCTGGTCGCTGCACTGTGCTTTGACGAGGTTTTACTTTCCTGTGATGCTGCTTTTGAGATGGCTGAGCCAGGAGCATAGAACTCAGACCTCAGCTCCCTGTGGTCGCAGATGATGTGCACTGTTTGTTCCAAGGCCGATCCCTGGAGCAGCAGGGTGCTGCGCGTCTCCAGACAGCTGTGTCCCAACCACTGCCTTCTCTGCCAGGTCCCAGACCCACCCTGGCGTGAGCTGGCCTTGTCAGTGATAGTGTCCAGCTCGCCCTTTCGAATGCTGTCTGGGGTTCAGGGGGAAGTTACATAGATGCCACCCAGGTGGGTTGGGCCCCCTGGAGTCCTGCCTGCAATGCTGCTCTGTGTGTTCCTCCTGGGTTTTGGAGGGAGCTGATGGTACGGGGAGAATGGAGAAGGGGTCCCTTTGCCTCTCGTCTTCTTTTAATCAGTGCCAAGCTTAATTACAATGCCCGCTTGCTTGGGCACGCATGGCTGATTTCTCAGAAGTAGACTGAGCCAGTGCCCTAATGGTCTGATGGCTGTGGGGCAGACCATCCTCACCCCCACATGCCTTTCTGTGGCAGGTGTCTCATCCCTGATTAAGTGCTAATGAGCATGCCTAGTGGACCATGACGCTGCTGCCAGTGTCTTCAGTTTTATGTCTGACTGTTGCAGAGCCCTTAAAAGGTGACAGAGCAAGAATTAGTGTCTTTGGAATGCCAGGAAGGTGATTTTATGCATAAAGAAATTATTATGATCTGAGACGGTGAATGAGTGGTTTCTAAATACTTTGCAAGAATACTGTTAAAGCTGCCAGCGTGGACCTCAGCCCCCTTTTCTATTTACCCCTCTAATTAGGAGGAGGCAGTCTTCAAAAGGACATTTCAGAGAGGGGCGACCCCTGGTGACTTTAAAGGTGCTAGGAATGATTGGACATGTGCTATAGAATGACAGTATGACAGTCGGTGCCGACTTCAAAGGTGGTGTGTTTGCTTACTCTTGGATGGGAAGTGTGTTTGGGATTCGATGAAGAATCAGTGGCCTGGCTGGCAATTACTGAAGACCTGGCATGAAGATTCCATGTATTCATTTTATGCAAGGGCACAATAAAGGAAACAAGTCCTAGTGAAGTGAGTGCAGATCACAGTAAGACTTTGCTAATAGTGCAGCTTAGAAAGTGAGCTTTAAAAGTTTTATTGTCTCATCAAGTACAAGTTTTCTTTGGACACCTAACATGCATCCAGATTGGCAGAGGCCACCTTTTAGATTCCTTTGCTATCCGTGCAGCATACCTGTAAGCGTGTCCTGTAGAGAGTGTGGCCACCACCAGTGCACATGTGACTGGCCCGTCAGGTATCTTGTGCCTCGGTGGGACAAGCGGACCTAATCAGTTTCATTGGTGTGTCTACTCATAGAATGAATGAAACGTTACCTGATGGGACAGCCATGCATGTCCCACAGGTGGTCCATGCTGACCCGCAATGGGACGGAGTTTCAGCCCTGTCGTGGATGTGCTCATGTAGGCAGATAGATGAGGTTGGGGGTGCCAATGACAGAGGCAGAGACCTTAGGAGACAGGGACTTGGGTCACTTTGGTTGGAGCCCCTGGTGGCAGCGAGAAGTGCTTCCCTCAGCAGGCTTCTCACCCTCTCCGATCACCGTTTTCACCTGTCCATAGCAGTGAATGAGAGGACTGAGTAGAGAGTGGTGTGTCTGTCAGGCTGCCGGCTTTCACAAGCCTGCGCCTGCACCAGCTCCACAGGTTGGACAGGTGACACAACAAAGGAAAGGGCCTTTGTAGCAGCCCTCCTGCAAAGTGGGAGGCACAGCAGTTCCAGAGCTTTTGGGCCTAGCTCCCTCTGAGAAGCAGGCGGATCAGTAGTTCTTCGCCTGTGAGAGGGCTCAGTAACAGGCTGCATAAGGGCCTAGGTGGTGCTGAAGAGAGACCGGAACCCACTGCTGGTTCTCCTCTCTGGTTTTGTTCATTATAATGGACCAGCAGGGTCTTCCTCCTTAGGGTGCGATGCACCTCCCTGGGGTGAGACACAGTCACCTGGAAACTGGGGCTGCTCTAGGTGCGCTCACCCCTGGTACAAGCACACAGCCACTCCACAGCCTGGCCCTGGAGGAGTCTGGAAATCTTGTAATGTCTTAGGGATGCCTGGATGTCCTGCCTGAGGCACTTAGAAGTGGAACTAGCTAGCTGTAGGCCCTTCGTAACTGGCCAGACTTAAACACCGCCCTGTCAGAGAGAGTCTGCCTGGAGTGCAGAGCGGAGTGGAGAGCATGGCGGAGGTGGCTGAGTGGTGGAAGGAAGCCTGTGATGAACAGAAAGCACTAATCTCCCTTCTTCCTGTCTCTCCCCTGCTGTGCCCCTGTCCAACTCCCTGTGCTGTTTGTTGCACCCACCTGTGTCTGTCTTCCCCCGATGCTGCCACGTCACCATGACCTGCACCCCAACAGCAGCAGCAGTTGCAAGCTCAGCACCTCTCGCATGGCCATGGACCTCCAGTACCCCTCACTCCGCACCCTTCGGGACTGCAGCCTCCTGGTCTCCCGCCCCTGGGGGGCAGTGCCAGCCTTCTCGCACTGTCCAGTGCTCTGAGTGGGCAGTCTCACTTGGCAATAAAAGATGACAAGAAGCACCATGACGCAGAGCACCACAGAGGTGAGAGGCCGGGCAAGCCAGATTAGGGCTCTGCCCATACCCAGACAGTGCCGCAGACTCGGGCATCACTAACGAGAGCCCCGACCTATGCAGAGAGCTAAGAGGAACTGTTGCGGAGCTTCCCATGCCGCACAGTCCGCCCTGTCGTGGGCAGGGCTTCCTGTGGGCGTCTAAATTTCCCAGTCCGATTAGATTGCAGGCACCTTGACATCTTGGCAGCTGCCTCGTTAATGCTGGTGGCCTGTCCCATGTTACAGAAAACTGTTAACTGCTTAATTGGGTAATTTTCAAAGAAAGTAATGTTGTTAAATGGGGCGAAATAAGTTAAATTTGAAAGTGAATGTGTTCAAATGAAAGGTTTGATAATTGCTTCTGTTACTACTTAGTTTCATAGGCTTTAATTCTAGTATGCATTAAATATTGGGCAGAATTGCACTTGACTAATTTTTGAAGAAAAGTAATTTATTCTGTCAAGAAATAAAAAAAATAGGCTTTGTGTATGGTTAAACTGTAAATCTTATGTTTACAAAATACTGTAATTTTCAGGAAATCACTGTATTAGGAATGTGCAATGACTTATATAAATAAAAGCCATTTTTAAAACTGTTTGGGACTTGTGTTCTAATTATTCCCCCCTTTTTTTATTTCTGTCCTTGCCTCTGTGTCTGAACGGGCATGTCTGTGCGTTTCTTGGTAACCTCGGGAGCAGACAGAGAGCCGGGCACAGTAAGTACCCCCGCGGCCCTCTCCACGCACATCCCACCCCTACCCCTCCATGACCTGGCTGTGCTTTTCCCTTCTAGTGGAAAGGTTTTGTCCTATACCAGGTCCCACTCTTTACAGAACTCATGTGAGACAAGGCGGTGTGATTTGGCGGTGGAGCTGTTTGCTGTAATGATTGGCCTGAAATATGCTTTGAGTTACCACCCAAGCCCACTTTAAAGACATTTTTTGTTACATTCTAAGTTCTGCTTGCATGTACTTTAAAATAGTATTGATTTTTATTTTTTATCGTCTTTATAGATAGATCAACAACCACATGTGGAGTTGGATGGTCTCAAATCACTTTTACCTAAAGCATTCACTACTTTCTGTGAGTGCATCTTAGTTTCTATATCTAATTTTCTTTGCATAATGATTTTTTATTTAGAAATTTTTTTTAAGGCCAGATCTTACTGCGTAGTCCAGGCTGACCTTGATTTCATTATGTTGTAGGCTGTGCTCCAACTCAAGGCTATCCTCCTGCCTCAGCCCCTGAGGGCTGGGATTACAGGTGTGCGCCACCACGCCTGGCTGAATAATGGTTCTCAGAGCATAAAGTTGACCTTAAATTTATTTTAGGCCTTACACTGGCCGTACAAAAATACTTAAAGACAAGGAAATTCAATAGACACGGCCCTGTGCTGATAGGGCTCATCTTTTCACCTTCTGAACCATGCCTGTATTCTGTTCTGTACATTGGACTGTATGTGGATCTGCCAGGTAGTTCTTAAAGCTGTGTTTAAAAATGCATCTCTCAGATGTTGTGCAGCAAAGAGGTTAAGAATATAGTTCCTATTCACTAGGTGGCCTATGATTTTTGCCTTTTCTTATTTGTTTCTGAACATAGCAATATTTTGACCAACTTTACCTTGGGAAAGGGAGATTGAACTTCTAATGATAATGGGTGTGTGTGTGTGTGTGTGTGTGTGTGTGTGTGTGTGTGTGATGAACCAAGGGCCTTGCACATGCTGGACAGTGTTGTACCACTGAGCAGAAAACCTCCACCCAGTCCCATTTTGATGTACTTCTCTTAGGAATTTAGGGGGAAGATACGTAAGTTTTTCGGTTTGAAGAGTTTTGGCCCCCTCTCTGTGTAGAGCAGTTGCTACTTTTAAAATTCTCTGAGCTGGACCACGGTAGCTTTGTGGGATATATGGGTAATGTGGCCAAAGGAAACTTTCTACTTGTGCGTGGATTTTCTTTGGAGAAGAAGAGGGAGAGGAAATTAATGACATTTTAGGAAACAAGTATAAAAATAATTAGTACACACAAAGTACAAATATTAAGTAAACTGGTCTGGATTTATAGATGTGATCTTGGTTCTGCTGGCCCGTTGTCCTCATGGATGTGCATTTGTGGAAGATCAAATCAAAAGCCCAGCCCTGGACTGGAAAGCACAGTTAACATCCACCATATGTGTCTTTGATTTATTGACCACTTTGAGGCTCTGTTTCTGATGGAACATTTTCCCCTCGGTGCCCCTGTTTCCCCTTCAGTGACTGTACTCATCAGGTCCTCATTGTCTATCTGGTTGTGTGGGACATGCAGCTCAAGCTTCCTCAGAAAGCCAGGGAGAGGGACAAGAGGAACCGTGTCTGGACAGGGAGCACAGGTGTGGGAGCACGATGGTGTGGTCTGCGATGTGGCTTTGAGCCCCTGGGTGTGGGGCAGGGTTTCACAGCTCAGAGGCAGTGGCCTGTGCTCTGCATCTGCTTCAGTGTGTGCCTAGTGTTTGTTAAAAGGCTGAAAAATGTATACGGATACTTGGTTCCTGGGGGTGGTGAGAGGTGACTGGAGGAAGTACAGTTGATTGTGTCATTGAAGAAACTCAAAACAGTTCCTGAATTCCAAGCAACTGTGGATTGTGTGTAAGTGGCTGTGAGAGAAGTTGGTGAAGTTCTGGTAAAGATGCAGTGGCTGCAGTGCATAGCCCTCTCTGTAAAGCACAATAGTGTGGAAGAAAACAGCAGGATTGGCTTGCATCCTTCTTCATACTGGATCTTTAACAGTGTTAGCAACCACTTAACATTTAAGAAGTGCACATACTGTGTTTGGTGCCTAATTAGCGCAGGAGACGCAAATGGTGATATAAAATGGGGAGACTCCACGGCCTGTGACCTCAGCATTTAATGTAGTCTGCACTGTCCACATAAGTGGGATTTTCTTGAAGTTACACAAAATTAAGTAGCTCCTCAAAACGTAGTATAAAATTGACTATGAGCAGCAATGGGCAATAAGATGATTTTTACTGTCAACACCCAAACTACTATTGTACTCATCTGTTTAATACAGTGGCTTGAATTGTGAAGTCTAGCTGTACTTGCAGATCAAGTCAGTCAGTAGGGCTAAGGGCAGTTGCTGCAAGCCAGTGGCTTTAAACCTTGTGGCCTTAAGATCTTACTGTTTCTACCTTTGAATTAAAATTCTTGGGGACCCCTAGGAAGTCGTTTCTCTTGGTTATATACTTTGAAAATTACTGTATTAGAAATAAAACATCTCAGGACTGAGCATTTTACCAATGCATTAGCTGTGGGTTCAGTCCCTAGTACAAAAAAGGGGGTGGGGGGAGTGCCTGCCTAACAAGCACAAGGTCCTTCATTGGATCCTTGGTACCCAAAAAAAAAAAATCTAGATTAAAAGCTGTTTGACTTTGTTAACATAAAAGACGTTATTAGTGAAAAATCTGATTCCAAAAGAGAAACGTTAGTGAGATGGATTGGTTTTTTATTTGGCGGTATCAGGCATTGAGCTCAAGGCAGTATGCATACTGGATACAGCCCTACCTCATGCACTGTCCCCAGCCCCTAACTGGTATTCTTTTGCATTTTTAAATGTCTTCAATGCTTGGCTTATAATGTACAGGTAATTTCTGGCTAGCTTCTGTATTTGATCTGTTGTGGTGCAGTTATTGTGGTTGTTTTCTGGAGGAAAATCTGCACGAATGGATTATGGAGACCCTCAGAATCCCCAGATCAGGAAGACCCAGGTTCTCACTGCTGCTTTTTCCTGCCATTGTTTCCATGTTAGCATGTCACAGTGGTACCTTGCTTCAGGAACTTAATTCTGTCTATGAGTCTGGTTGCAACCGAATTGCACACATAGTACGTATTTGCTTATGGTTAATATATACGGTACAAATATACCTATATGCCTGCCGTTAGTACACATGGCACAAATAGCATACCTATGCTTGCAATTCAGTTGCAGCCAGCATTGTGGAATGAATTCTGTGACCAAAATTAAGGAAAGAATTTTGTGGACCAAGGAACCCCTGTGTTTAAATCAAGTACAAAACAATTAGACTTCTGTAGATGCAGAGGGAATGTGGATATATGCGGAGTTTTAGCTGTGAGCCTGAAGCTGGGTGGTAGGTACTTCATATTTATCCTTAATGATAAAATTATTCAGTGTTCTAGTTTAAGCTTTTATGGCAGGAAAACAAATGAGTTTTAATATGGGCAGTTTGTTTTAGTGGAAAACAAAGGCAGTAAGAACAAAATAAAAATATGAACACTTCTAAGTTCTTCCTTCTGAAAGGAGTAGTGCAAACCTAGTAACTTTTTAGTACTAAATGCATTTTACTGCACATTTTTTGTTTATTTCATTGATGGGTTTTAAATTTGATTTTTCGAATTCTTAATGTTTTTCTTTTTTTCATTTTTTCCTCTCATCTGTTTTGTAAGTAAATCTTATGAGAGTGCAGCTATTGAGCAGAAAAATAGGATATGACTTAAGAAAATAGTTTATATACAGCAGTAATAATATACAGTAGTAATAAAAAACTTAACCGTTACACATTTTGTTTAAAGATAAATTGCATTAAATTTTGGCTGAAGGAATTATCATGTAAGTAATTGACTTGAAAGACTTTGAATTAGAGAATTGACAGAGTTGCATAGCTTTAAAAAAATGATAGAACATCACAAAGAAATACTTTCCTCATTTTTCAGACATTTACCAAGTACTTGCTGTGTTCTAAGTGCTGTTGGAGGCGCTGCTCATACTCAGTACCATTTTGCATTCATCTCTTTGAATGTTATAGGTAAATATTTGTTGAATATGGAAGTACTGAAATACCTAAGGTATGTGATGGCTTCTTGGAAAGGATGGGTCTCCAGAATGTCTTCGGGAGGCCCTAGGGCAGAGGAATTGCTGGAGTTGTGTGCTGTACGCTGTGGGTTGCTATCTTTCGCATAAGGAAAAAACTCAGAAGGCCCCTAGTCCGGAGTATTAGGCTTGCTCCCCTGCCTTAAAACCCATCATCTTACCAATGAAACAGCAGGGTCCTGGACACAGGGCCGAGGGACTCAGGTGACAGAGTTTTGAGACAGTGTCTGGGGGAACATTTTGTCACTCCCTAACTGATTTCTAAGATCAGTATTTTAAATTTATTTAAATGTACTTACGGCAGTCAGTTATTTATAGAAGGCGATTCTTTTATTTTTCTTCTCTTACGTCTTATTTTAAAGAGAAAAAAACCAATTATACAGAATTTCTTAACTATATAGTAGAGAGTTAACAATGTTAACAATAGTGTGCAGCCTTCAAAGTTGACTAATTAATTGACAGAGGTAGGACCAGCTTCAAGTTCAGGACCACCCAGTGCTCCATTTTTTCTCAGAATGACACTAAATGTTACAAAGGCCAGGAGGCGATTAGGACTTGCTTTGCTTTGAGGATGCCATGGAGCGGTGGACTCATTCAGCACTGCTGGGTGGTAGAAAGAACACCAGTTTTGGACAAAGGCAGCTCTGGGTGAGATTCTGGGTGCACAGGCAAGACTTTCCAGGAGGGTGGAAGTGGGGTCCCTCATGGGGAAAGGGTTAGGGGGCCTCAAGGTGGGAGGTACTGACAGCAGAGCAGGTGCCTGGGGGACCCCTGCAGAACAGTCAGCAGTAGATGCACTGTTAATTACTCTCAGCCTGGAGCAGTTCTCAGGCATTCATCACCAGAAAACAGACGGG